TTGACACTTTCGCGATCTGTAACTTTTCCCTTTCATTCATTTCCGGCTTTGGCTCATCTCAGCACCTCTTCATCTCATCCAGGGGTCGTTTTCTTCACTGGAGGCCTCATCCAGTCGCCCACCAAGGCCTCCTCAGCTTATGTTCCCATTCGTTCCTTCATGTAGCTATATCATGATGAGTTACTGATAGTAGAGATAAAGATGCACTGTCTTCGGATTCATATTTGAGTCAAGTAACATTCTGTAATTCTCTTCTTCATAACTTTATCTAGATCAGAATAATATTGCTTGTGTGTTTAGGACGTGACTTAATAGATCGCATACGACATCCTTGAGTTTGGGAGAGAATGATATCACAGAAGGTATGGAATCATGAAAATCATGTTATTGTGAAAGGTATGATGGATATTTGGATTGAATTAAGTATATGTTGGAAAATCGGTATAGTTTCGATAAGTAAGGCGGCTCAAAGAATATGGGCGCGATTTACGAATAGAATAATAAAGATTTAAATCGGGAGAATACGTGATATGCTGTGGAAAAATAAAATAATGGATTGAATTAATTAATTGTATTATCTATCTTGGTGATTCATAGACAGCTTATATACATGTACACTTGATAGACCAAAGCCAAATTAGATACTATCTTTCACTCGTTCCATACTCTAACAATGGCAATGAATCACACGAAAGCATAAAACATGAGTATGGGGTCAGGGTCGGTGGATGAAAGTCTACACGAGTATCAAACCATACCATCCACTAGTTGAGTCTCAAGCGTCAGAGATGCTCAATAAAGGAGATATCAATCATCTAGGTCGTGAGTCATGTGTGAGAATCTTAGTAGTTCCAATCATTGGGAAAGTTCAGACCCACAGAGTCAGAATATCCAATAGTATATAAGAAAGCTTAGCATTAGGATATTCAGACCTCACGCAACGTCTTCTGAAGATGAATACGCTTATATTTCTAAACCTCATCTCTTCCTTGGGAAAGCTATTGCACCGCATTACTTCCATTGGCTCCTCTTCTTTCCTCGGTGACGCCTTTGCCTCAGATATTGTCTTTTGATCTTCATTCCATTGACTATCCCATTTCGTATCCAGTAAAACTATCGCTACATCAAACTCCTTGAGTATCAACATAACTATGACCTGCATCCAAAGCAATGTGAACCCGACTAGAAAGTTGTTGCGGTTATGAGCTATGAGGTGCATGGAAATTATGAATCTGCTGTCTGTGGGTGTAGTAGTACGGACTCATGTGCAATGGTGACTCGCGGAGATGGCGGGCTCATGCTGGGTTGATGGCACGATGGATACTGAATGCGTATCACTGTGGCCAATGGGTGTCAATAGGTATCAAATGTTGACTCTTACTGACAATGGTGATCTATGGAGGTGATGCTAGATGCGAATACCGAAGATTGATAATATCATCTAGTGGATGATATGAAGTATGATATTATTATGATAGGTTACTTCAAATTCCGCAGGTGAAGAGATTGTAACGTACATGAACAGCGTCTATGTGCCAGTCTGTATATTCCACCCTTTCCTTATACATCAGCCATGATGCAAAAAACAAAAAAATAATAATAGTACATCAGCCTACCCTCCGTTGCCCTGTCTCCTAGCGACTCAACCGAGCCTAAACAACAAGTACATAAATTCCTGCGGGCTGGAGGGTAAGATTGAACACCTCTACGCGGTGTCCATTACTGTTACGGGTTTTACCCGGAGTTAGTTGGCTGGCCTGACTAACGGGCCCAGCCTCGCATGTAAGTCGGATGTGGCAAATAGGCCTGTCTATTGCAGCAGGTTAGACGCTTAGTAAGTGCTTATGTAAGGTGGTCATCAGCACAAACCTTACATTGGCTCTGTCCCATTTTAGTGTTCTCTTCATTGAAAATATAGATTATTTTGTGGCAGCCTTTGCGTGCAGCGTCCGTGATTCTCGTCCTTTTCCATCTACCAACTTGGGGGTGAAATATTCTCACAGAGCCAAGTTCAGTCAAATTTCGTAATACCGAAAGAGCCGGCCCACGAGGCAATGATTCAAATAACTCCACAACGTCAAATTTTAATTCTCAAAGAGATCGAATCCTACCTAAGGCTCATCAAGTCTACAAACACGACCAAGTATATCCTCATTCCAATGACCACACCTTTATCGACTTTCTCTGGTCTTAGCTGGTCGGCAGATACACGCCCACGCCGATATTTACACCCGACGGAGGAAGCAAAGCGTGGCGCACAAATTTAGAAAACAGTTCCTTGGGATGTATGTGAGAGGGATCAGGGCAAGTTTATAAGATGATGCAAAGGAAGGACATAACCTCGAAGGGCGTCAAATTCTGAATTTTGGCTAGGAGTTTGACGAATTGAGCTTTGTGCGCGCCAAAATTTCGCTTGCGAGAGTGCAGCTGCCACTATAAAAACAAGCCGACGATGGAAGGTGTTGTGGTCCGCCTCCTGGTGGTGTTCTCCGGTATAGTTTGAGTAGCTTGGGCACCTACTCCACTTGGGAAAGAGACATCTCTGACCATATTTCGCGCGGAGGAAAGTTGAAAGATGATGGAGGCATGTCTGCATAGCTCAGGGTTTTTGAGACGTTCCCTTGGGTGGGTATTCACGAATGAGGGTTGACTTGGGGTGAAGAAAAAGCCACCATAACTTCGCAGTGGTACTTGCAAATGAAATTCGAGGCATGAGTGCTCTTCCTTTACGTTGAATCGTCTATTCTATACTTTTCTTTGATATTATGTCATAGCTAGATAGCTGCATACGCAATTAAAATCTGTTCCAAAAAAAAAAGTATGTCAATCGTAGCACAGAGAAATCAATCATTCATTCTTGTCTCCGCTCTGATCTTTTGGCGATTCACGTGAGATTCACACGAAACCGTCTCTAAGTTTTACAACTATTGTATAAATTGCTTATGTTATCTACATGACAGGACCTTCCTGTACATACATGAATAAGAGGGTTTCTGTCAAACATCTGATAGCTTAGAATCCACTAAATAAGGTAATGAGAATCATTGGATATTGGGATAACACATCTCGGATTAAAATACTCGAGCTTTGATACCTCACTAGGGATATGGTGATCAGGATGTTCAGGATGTTCAGGATAGTCAAAGCTCTGACTTGAGATCTTTTGATCTTCAACACATGTAATATATTTCATATGTAATTTTGGGAAACGAGGAGAAGACAATCTCTCCTCGAAATAGTTTCAAATGGGTATATAGCATCACTGCTGGAGAGGAGTTGAGGAGCAGAGATTTCATCAATACAACTTTACTTCACATTTTTCATTTGACCCTCAGTGTCTAACAGTTTCTGCACACTAGTGGATGTTCAAATATATCTCCTTGTCTAACCGAGAAAGGAAGGATGTGTGTGAGTGATAGAGGAGTGTTTGTTGTACTAATTGGGTCACAGACTTTCTAGCACATTGGGCTCCTCTCTAGCCCGGGCCGCATCTTGTACAGTGCTCCTTGCCCCTCATGTTTCGTGAAAGATTATTGATATATTGCCCGTGATGAACAGCCATTCAGCTCAGTGTTTACCCGTGGAATTCAGCCACCTTTTCCACGGAACCTTCTACCCAAAAATAAAATCAATCAATCAATCGAAACCACGTGCGCGGCAAAAAGTCTCAAAATACCTGCAACTCTAGCCAGGCGAGGCCTAGACACTGGGACCGCATGAGGTGCGCATATTCATCTATATCTCCCTTCTTTGTAACATTCGAGGCCGACTTGATCCAATCCATCATCTCCGTATCGGGTGCTGGTTACGTTCCGGAAACTCATCAGATAGCTTTCCCTTCATGATCAAGGGTTGGTGATGAGTAGGGCTCCGACCCTACCATCTGATCTGATCGTGGTTAGTTTCACAATAATGGTGATAAGGGGGATGTGTTGAATGATGAAGACGATACAGACGGCGAAAGCGATTGGGAATCCTCATCGAAGTGAGGAGTTTGTTGCTGAATCTTGGCTCTGCAGACTCTACAGTCAGAGCTGGAGGTTCGTAGGGGACACCACTGACAGGTGTTGAGAATAGTCACCCGCCCAGTATTCTGTGATCAAGACACACAGTATTGTTACTGGGAGAATCTGGGCACAGGGTTTTGACATTGATTCAATTCAAGTTGGTGTGGGAATCAAAATTTAAATTGGCTTAATTCCTAGCAGTTAATGCAACAACACCTTTTCTAATTTGGTGAATTCTTGGCTGAAAAATAAGGATAGTCGGACATGCCATTGCTCGCCGGTGAAATTCATGACTCGCAAATATTCTCACTCCCCACAATTCCCTTGCACGACAGAGGAAAAATACCCCTCCGCTGAGAGTGTGGGATACTATTTGAATATCCGGAAGAGTGGGTGAAAAAGATATCGCCAGAAGCTCATGAAGGTCCATTTCTGTGTATTCCAATTTAATATAAAGGCATCTAAATATCTAGTACTGCATCTTAGAAGAAAGCAGCAAATATTTTAATCATAAATTTATGTTCTGTAATCAACAGCATCGTCTGTAAGCATATTACCATCTCACCTATTCGAGTATGTGCTAGATACACAGCAATTCAGTTTCTATTTGACAGCACTTAAAATGACCTCCCAAGCACCGTACCATGTTGATGTACTTGCTCCTAAAATGCCTTGAAGATCCTACAGGCGATATTATTCTTATTACTAGGACCAGGGCTAACAATTCCCTCTGTGCTCCAGTTCAGCTAGACATGAGATTTTAATTTGCTCATTTATAAAATAGACTTGTCCATTAATATAATAAAGATGAACATCAAATGCAGAACCAAATTCAATTCTGTCCACGATCAAACTTCACCTTTTCTATTTCGATGTGCGTCAAGTTTTAGACTGCCTAAACTCATACTTTCGCCTTGTCTTCCCTCTCAAGTACTATACGCTATTCTCAAAATAACCAGGTCGGCTTTGTGTTAAAAGCGGCGCTCAAGAAGCATGAAAGTATGTTTTGTAGTAATTCGACAACTTCTCGAGCCGAATATTCTTAATAAAGTCGTCTATCATCTAGTATTACTCAGCGGTTGGCCGCCACTTGCCATTGAATCAAACTATGTTTCAGAAGGTGTCAACATCGGCCACGATTACAAGAGAGTAGAAAACCTCATGCGTATGAATTATTTGGTGACGGAAGAACGAAGATCCCCTGCTATTAATTTGTGTGTCAAGGAAGGTATTTCACCGCATCCACGGAATGGCTTGGGATTAAAATTTAAAAATTCGAATAAAAAAGTAAAGAAACTCAGAAAATCTCTCATCAACGAGAAATGCTACAGAAAGATCGAGTCTTTCAATAAAAGAGGTGGAATGGCCTTAGCTTCTGGGGTCATTAAGCGAAATCTTTGCACCAGGGACGATATCCTGAACTACATCAGGTTATCACTTGCAACTGCTGTGCGCAGAGACCAACTACATGAATCATCTTCAACCATGAACCTCAAAATTTTAATGGATATCCCTGTAGCCCTGATTGACCTCAGTTCTTCTAATGTTGGTTATGAATTTCAGGGGTTTATTCTTATTTTTAATAAGGACAGGCAAATGCAAGCATTTAAAATAAATAAACTGAATTTAGACTCAGAAGAACGTACCTGTCAGCCTATGGCAACCAAGGTAGATGAGGCCAGAATTATTTCGTTGGCCTTTCAGTCCTGGAGGGATCTCAATATACAGGGATTAAAAACAAAGTGCATGGTTACATTTGACGTACCCTTCACCACTACTACCAGCGAATTCGAATTTACTTCGCAGAAGGCGACCACTAACTTTATAGCTGCTGAAGCTATTAAGGAGGAAATTCCTTAAAAACTGCAAACGCACGATTTACAATTTGGGACTCAGAACGGGTATTACTAAAGCGGGTTTTGTGAAAAAGTACCATTAAAATAGGCAGAAAACTTTTGCTTGTAAAAATATTGGGCCATCAAAAAAGGAAGAAAGGAGAATGATTCGAATTTTACCTATTTCGAATTGAATCTATCATGCTTTTATCGAACCCTTTTGGAACACTTGCTTCTCGAGTCAAACATTTGGGGTACGAATCTTATGTTCTCAGAGATCTGGCATTACTGGTTACAACCTTACTCACAGCACTACTACAAGCAAGGAAGCTCATCGCACTGTAGCTGTAAATATTGCACTATATTCGTTACAATTATGAACTCTTAGATGACTTCACGTAGTCTAGATTCTCGGATTGAGCGGAATAGAAGATGTATGAAAACACGATGAAAGAGACCTTAGATAAAAGAAGACAGATGTTTTAAAAAGACTGACTCCAGTCCGGAACCAAAGAACGATCTAAAAGCACAGATATTGAATTAGTGACGATACTCACGAGCGTAAATAAGTAGGTTATTTAGATAATAAAGTGCTGTGTAACTTTTCAAATGATTCACTTATCCTCTATCAGCATTGAGCTGTGTAGGACATGCGCATCCTCTCTGCCTACAGTCCAAGGATACCTATACCAGTAGTATATCCCCTCCTATGCCTCCCATACAGCTCCCCTCACACAGTACCACACCTCACAAGTCCTTATTCGATCATACACTAAGAGGAGCCCTTTTCACTTCATTGTCTCCCCCTTCCAGCCAACGACCCGATGGCCATTTGCCGGTATATGGCAGCCGGAAAAAATCGCAAAAACCACTGGGTGCGGAGCTCTCCTAATACCGAAATTAGGACAAAATCCGAAGACATAGTGACTCATCTGAAGCGTTCGAAAAGGCCAGCCAGCTGGGCGCTGAAGACTTGTGAGAAATTCAGGAATTTCTCTCTCTGCCTTTCTAGCCTCCTTCCCGAATTTCGCGCTGAAATGTCAGCAAAGTTTTGACAGATCGTGAATGCTGTATAGCACCTTAGTCTGGCTTCTTTTGTGTCGTTCAGGGCTCTGGGGAGTGCCGTTGACTCATCGACAATAGAAGTTCTCCTAGCTAATAACACGAAACCCTATCTTAGCGCCTGAGAACACTCTTTTGTCGAAGATTACTCAAAGAAGGTTAATCCCGGAATTCTATGTAAAGGTCTTCACTCTGTCGTTGCGCTTTCCAGCTGCTAGGCCTATCTCAAGATTTATAGCGCTATTGTAGTAGCAGTCCCCATATGCAAAACCCAGAATTTCATTTCCGCATAATTTATTTTCCTCTGTGCGGGTATTTGTCGCGTCGTGATTTACTGGTGGATGATCGATTGTAATTGATAAATCAAGTTTTTTTTGCAATAGGAGCAACAACTTGGTCAGACACAAAGTCAAGATGACAAGTTGTAAGACTGGATTCAAGTATTTGCGTGAGAAAATTAAGGCTCATAATGTCGAGGATTTATCAAATGTCGATATTGTTATTATTGCTTTCGACTTCGATTCGGATGCGATTCCTATTGGCTGTTTAAGGTATGTAGAAAATACTGAGCGTCTGCATCGGCGCTGCTGGATGGTGAAGAATCCGTCTTTGCCGGCTTGTTTTACACAGTGAATGCGATCAATTGTTCACTTCTTGTTAGGTGTACGAAAGCTAGCCTCAAGCCTAGCCATTTCAGGTTAGCGCTCCATTCAGTTAACTCAATCCATAATTTAAGTACCTCAGATGCGCAATAGTATGGTATGTAGTATAGTCGAGAGCCATATCTTCATTCAACAAAATACGGTTATGCCGAAACAAAATTTCGAAAGAACTAGACCCTTTTATTTTCCAACTAAATTCAGATATCAGACCCCTCGAGAGAATTAGGTTAAATTCAAGGCTAGATAACTTTCTTCACGGCTTTGATCTTCACATGTCTTCAGTGTGTAAGCTTATTTAAGGCTTTTCTAGTATTGTAATCAAAAGAGACCCGCAGAGATGTTTAGTTCGGCATTAAAATCTTTTTCTTCAAATATCAACTCGAACTACAGCATATCGCAAGTGCAGACAACGACATCGGGTCCATGGAAAATTTACGACGCAAAAAAAAAGACATCAGGAAAATTAGCTTCAATTTTCGTATTTGAGCGTAAATCACTTGAGCCTCAGTCCGGTTCTCTCAGTAGGCCTACAAGCTCAGTATTGAAGAAAGATACCGAAGATGTCGTGGAAAGACTAAAAAAGGAGGCATCTTCATTGGCAAGGTTAAGACATCCAAATATTCTGGAACTAGTTGAACCAATCGAGGAAACTAGAAATGGGGGGTTGCAGTTCGCAACAGAGATGGTAACCGCCTCGCTCTCAGGGCTCCTTAAAGAAAAAGATGAGAAGGAGAAAAATGGCGAAACTATCAACCAACGAGAAGATGTCACAGGAACAAGCGCAGCAGAATGTCTACTTGATGAATTAGAAATTCAAAAGGGCCTTGAACAAATGAGCAAAGCTTTGGAATTTCTCCACGATAACGCCCAACTTATCCATGGAAATCTGACTCCCGATGCGATATTTATAAACTCAAAGGTGTGTGGGATTGTATCCTGAAGGTTTATTGGCTAATTAGGAACAGTCCGATTGGAAGATTAGCGGCTTAAGCTTTTCATGTCCTCCCGACGGTTCTACCACCAAAATATCAACAATGCCACCATTAAATCTACCTCAGGTTCTTAACATTGATTCACGACTGCCTAGATGCGTACAAATGGACCTAGACTACTGCTCTCCTGATTTTGTACTGGACTCCAACCTCAACGTAGCGGCGGATATGTTCTCTCTTGGGCTAATTATCATCACACTCTACAACTATCCTCACAACTCCCCCTTGCAGACAAATTCAAGTGTATCGTCATACAAAAAACTTTTCGCGTCGTCATCAGCAATTCCTTCAGCTAGTAATGGTTACTTATGTTCGCGACCGTTACCAAAAGATATTGAATCTTTTGTTTTACCAAAATTAATCACAAGATGGCCAGCTCAACGGATGACTGCTAAAGAGTTCCAACAAAGTCCATATTTTGACAATATTCTAATATCTACAATCCGATTTTTAGATTCGCTTCCGGCAAAGACACCCAACGAGAAATCTCAATTTTTGAGGGGATTTTCAAGGATAACACCTTCATTCCCTAAATCTGTGCTTGAAAAAAAGGTTCTGCCAGCTCTACTAGAACAGGTTAAAGACAGAGAACTTCTATCTCTAATCTTGCAAAACGTGTTTAACATTCTAGGTCAATTGTCATCCAGGCGAAAAATATTCACAGAGGTTATCATGCATAAGTTAAAAGAAATATTTCTCAACACTGGAAATCCAAAGATATCAGCGGAGAAAGATCCCACCAAAGAAGCTAGTTTGATGGTCTTATTAGATCATATAAGCATGATTATAGAGAATTGCTCTGGGAAAGAATTTAAAGATCGTAAGCTAGCTCATTCTTATCAGAAATCTTGTCTAACTGCAAAAGATATACTTCCTATAATATACTTAGCTATTGAATCTCCTGTTCATAGAATTGTAGATACTTCACTTCAGACTCTCCCTTTAATTCTACCCGTCCTCGATTTTACGACTATAAAAAATGAACTTTTTCCCGTGATTGCCTCAGTTTTTTCTAAGACAAGCAGTCTTGGTATAAAAGTACGTGGTCTAGAAGCATTTGTCATTCTCTGCGGGGGATCGATTAGCTCCGAAAGTGAAAACAATGGCTTCGGTGGGACTGGGGCCTCTAGGATGGGTAAACAATGCTCTTCATCTGCCCTTGATAAATACACAATGCAAGAGAAGATATTACCACTTGTCCGCGCTATCAAAACTAAAGAGCCAGCTGTTGCAATTGCTGCTCTTGCTGTTCTCCGCCAAGTAGGCCACATAGCTGATCCCGAGTTTATAGCGCTTGATATTTTGCCGGTTCTTTGGAGTATGAGTCTAGGTCCTCTACTAGACCTCAAACAGTTTCAGTCTTTTATGAGTCTAGTGAAGGAACTATCAGCTCGTGTGGAGACTGAACAAACTAGAAAACTCCAGGAGCTTTCGGGCTCAAGAGAGAAATATACTATAGGTGGCGATGATTCAATATCTACTGGAAATAATTTACTCACAAAAAATATCGGCTCATCTGATGAAACCGATAGTGACTTTGAGCGTCTCGTCAAAGGCGCTGCATCTGATTCATCTCATTCAATTAGTAGCAACTTGAATCCTAACTCAACCTTGATGTCATTGCCTTCTGGGTTATCATCCAATGGGCTAAGTGAAAACTCATTTGTGCCAATTAGCGCTGCGGCCATCCCCGCAACACCAGGTATAAATTCGTCCTCTTCACTCTCGAAGCCTGACTTATCTCGGTTCGCCACCTTAACACCTAGAGCCAATTTACAAGCGGAGCAGCCCCATAACTCTTTTATCCAAGCTCATACAGCTCAAGCATGGACACCTACAGTTCAGCAATCGAATGTAGGCTCTTTGAATACCGCTTTTCAGCCTCCGTATGAATCTCAAATAAATTGGCCGACAGCTAGACCTTCAAATTTTGACCATACCAGTACTAGAATGAATTTAGATCAGATACGTAGCGCCACATCATCCACTGCCTTATCTATGAACAAACAACAATTATCCTATATACCGTCCTTGCGACCTCAAAGTGCCTTGAGCTCTCGTACACCAACAAGAAACTTCCAGTTCAATTCAGACTGTTACAACTCGTTCTCTCTGCCTCCACCTCCACCTCCGGGCTCTAACAAGGGATATGGACCCTCATCTGGCCTTTACAACCATAATAATTCAAACGCCTTTGGTACTCATACCATCCCACCGCCATCAAACGTACTGGAGGCCTTCTCGAATGCTGTACAACAAGATAACTCAGTCGTCCCAGCAGGATTAGGGCAGGGATCGTCTCACCAGAATGGGCTAGATTCTTGGGAAAGTTTATTATGAGCTGATCCCACTTGGTCTCAGGTTTATTGAATACAGGCCAGAACATAACCGCGATATTATCATGTCGTTTGTGAGAAATAAACTCGGCTTTATGATTACAATAGCTCTAACTCCTAATAACTTTTCTAGTTAGAATCATACGAAGCTTTTACTTAGCATTCAACTAAGGACTGAAGAATTTAAGCGGCCTAGCCTCTGAAGTTTCTACCCTTTTAGTTTGAAAACTTGTTGAGATATAATAAGAATCTTAGATATGCTGGTGTAAAAAGCATCAATATTAACCAAATGCTAAGTGAGAATGAAGTACAGGAGCCTTATAAATATGTCTGATAAACATAACGGTATGGCATAATTCACTTGCGGCATACTTTTCAAGAGTCCCTCGTGGAACCCTTGGGATTTGTTCTCGACGAGATCCCAATATAAATCGGCACATATTGAGGTAAAGCGATCTTGGGCCTTGCGTTCGAAAGCAATACTCATAGCCGGGTACTTTGGGTTGCAAGGATTATAAGTAAAAGGACGACAATCTATGCGCAAGCATGTGTGTTTTTTCAAACTTCGCCATGCTAGGCTCTACATCATTGAATCTAGATTAATCAGTTCAAATACGCCTGTTCGGTTTTCACTAGTCGTCGATATTGGATAATTGAATCAAATCTAAACCCCAAATGTGTCAAAGATCTTGAAATGCCACTAAAATTATGAAGTTAGTCTTTAAATTAAAAATTATATCTGTTGTGAGATAACTGATCGCATTAGTATTCTCTTGTTATCCACGTTATTTAGCATGCAGGCCAAAAAAGAGGGAATTAGACTTAATTAAAATTTAGCCCCTACTACGTCCATGGCTACGGATTACGAAGTTAACTAATAAGCTTCCAATTTTATTAATAAGTTATTTGCTCAAAACTTTCCAAAAGAGACTGAGGGTGTAGCCTCTATAAAGATAATGACAAAGAAGTTTTAAACGCTGATCGCCAATGTCGCAAATGGAAGACTCGTGATATTGACCAATTACAAAGCTTTTTGTCGGTTAGTAATATATATGTATTTGCGTACGCAATGGTTCTCTCCATGATGTGATGATTCTTCTTATTCTTCTTGTACATAGGCGTGTAAGCCTACAGGGCGACACGCCAAACAGCACCAGGTCACGTGACCAACTATCAACACATTGTGATCTCTCTGCTGGCTCAAGTAAATCCCAAAATAGTGTTGCGACTCTTTTAGTATTTATTTATTTAGTTTTGAGTCCTAGGCCGTAACCTTCAATCTATTTAGATGTATTATTATTAATTCATTTTATTGTTCTGTCTGAGTCAATGACTATGTAGGACATGCAGGTCCTCTCTGCCTACAGGCCAAGGATACCTATACCAGTAGTATATCCCCTCCTATGCCTCCCATACAGCTCCCCTCAAACAGTTCCACCCCTCACAAGTCCTCATTCGATCATACACTTAGAGGAGCCCTTAGCCCTTCATTATCTATTTAGATGTTGGATCGGTGGAGCGGACCGAAATTTAACCTTTGGGCTTGCCCTGCTCGTTCACACCCATTTTAGAGCTGGTAAATTGTGAGCTCATTAAATAAATAATGTAGTGGAGAAAAAAGAAAATAAATAAACGTTGGCTTTGAGTTAGCATTCCTCATCCTGAGCTCTCCTCCGCTAGCGTATTTGCCCGGGCATTTATCCCAACACCCGTCTTTGCATTCAGCCGAGAACTCGGATGCGTCAAGTCTACCGAAGCAGCCTATAACCCATGCAGAATTTTTAAACTTCTCTAACCCTTTATGTCCGAGGAGTTGCCTAGTAAAAGCATCTAAGCTCAAGTCTTTTCTAAGTTTACGCGTCAGAATATTGTATCTCCGACAGCGTATGGAATGGGTACGTGTGTTTTTATTGTACTACTTGAGTCTATGACTATCTAGCACGTTGGGCTCCTCTCTGACCCAGGCCACACCTTGTAAAGTGCTCATATACTCTTTTGTTACTTGAAAGATCATTGATATATTGCCCTTGATGAATAGCCATTCAGCTCAGTGTTTACCCGTGGAATCGGCCACCTTTTCCACAGAACCTTCTACCCAAAAAAATAAAAATGGTAGCAATGGAAACTGCGTGCGCGGGTAAAAGTCTCAAAAAACCTGCAGCCCCCGCCAGGCGAGGCCTAGACACTGGGACCGCATGAGGTGCGCATATTCATCTGTATCTCCCTTCTTTGTAACATTCGAGGCCGACTTGATCCAATCCATCATCTCCGTATCGGGTGCTGGTTCCGCTCCGGAAACTCATCAGATAGCTTTCCCTTCATGATCAAGGGTTGGTGATGAGTAGGGCTCCGACCCTACCATCTGATCTGATCGTGGTTAGTTTCATAATAATGGTGATAAGGGGGATGTGTTGAATGATGAAGACGATACAGACGGCGAAAGCGATTGGGAATCCTCATCGAAGTGAGGAGTTTGTTGCTGAATCTTGGCTCTGCAGACTCTACAGTCAGAGCTGGAGGTTCGTAGGGGACACCACTGACAGGTGTTGAGAATAGTCCCCCTCCAAGTCTTGGTGTCGAGCTGGACAATGAGTTGACCACTATTTGTCTATCAATTCTTATCTTCGCCTTTGCACAAGACGCCGAAGGTAAGCAAGACTGATATAACTGGGTTGCTTTTGGCTATCCGGAAGTAATTTTAGTGCGGCGCGAGCTTTTTTGTCTGCCTCTTGTATTTAATGGTTCCCTCATTCGGGCACATCCTTGCACGAATACGTAGACGATGACGATCTTCGAGGGATTGTAACCTTGCCGATAGTCTACAGCCTCTTAAGGATTTCAAAAATAAAATTTTCAAAAAGACTGGGGTCAGATCCCTGTGCATACCGATTAGATTGGTTTAGCCTTCATGCAGGCCCATGTCTAGCTCGTCGACTAGTTTTGCAAGCAGGGGTACTATCCAACGATATTCCGTGAAAGTCAAAATTAATGGGGACGGTTTTCAACACCAAGATAAATGTACAATGGTCCTCACTTAAAATTAAAAATTAAAAAAATCAATTGATATTATCTACAAATACACATCTATTTTAAAAATAATTGCTCCGTATTACAAAAGTATCCATCGAAGCCCTCAATATGGCTCGCAACTAAAATGAAAGCGTACTTCATGTTTTGTATAATTCTGCTCCATCCTAATACTTGGTGTGCCCTACATTTTCCTTTATCACCGATATACATCTTTCGTCCATGTTGACCTCACTTAACGGAGGCTACTTCCGGGCAACACATCTGCTGTAACATATTTTATTGAGGGCTTTAGAAGTCGAACCCTCACTGGATCCCCAGTGGCTGAAAGGCCCCATTGCTAGTTCCAAACAGCACATCTGTCGATTTCCAGGAGATTCACGGACGAAAGCCTCAAGCTCATCAACTTTTTCCGCACTTAATTTAGATTAGCATCTTTTGCGAGGCTTAGGATTCTCTGTCTCTCGAGCACACGTAAGTTGCACTTGCCTTCTTGTGAAGCTAAGGTCGTCGGATATATGTTGTAATGTCAAGCCAAGTCTTCTTTATATTCTTATTTCAATACATTGATCGCGAGTTAGATGCTTGCGAACTTTAGTTTCTGAAGCTGACTTTTCGAGAGACATTGTTTGCTAGAGTAGAGGATGAATTGGTAGTGATGTTAAGATTCAAGGACTGTCCTGTCTTGTCTTATCTTGTTCATTTACGTGCTAGCTAAAGTGATTCCCGTTGCACTTCTACTAGAGCTTAAGCACCGGTGGGGCCGGGCTGGATCAGGTAAACTACCATTAAGTACAAGTGCCTCGTCCCACCTTCATGACCGGACCACTTCAGACTTCACACATGTGTTGAATCATGTCAAGCCAAACCGTCCAGATAACCCCTTTTTGGCGCGCCGAAGCGCAAATTCCTCCTCAGCCTCGGCCACCCCGCGCCCGAGCCATTGACACCTCCGCGATCAGTAACTTTTCCCTTCGCTTCATTCGCAGCTTTTGCTCATCTCAGCATCTCCTCATCTCATCCAGGGATGGTTTTCTTCACTGGAGGGATTCAAGGACTGTGTAGGTTAGGCAGCCAAAAAAATGTCGTTGAAAATGTGTTCAGGTAACCGAATGTTAGAAGAAGACGATTGGACCATACTTCATGGCGAGCGGGGAAAGGAGGAAAGTCATACTAACCTATTACGAGCTAGCCCAACTGCGCCTACAGGGCTAATCCCTTAAACATTCCAGTTTCGAGGTTAACATTTTATATCCCAGAGGCACTGTAGAGAGCCATAGCTTCCCGCTCGTAATTTCCTCATAGAAAATTTAAACATTTTTATTTTATTTATTTATCTTTATTTAACGTCTGGCGGATCACGCGTCAAGCGAGTAACCCTATTAAGTCCCTACTGAGACAAAAGACGCCAGGATTTAATCTCTGGGCTTCTACATGTTTTAAAGGAAAGCAAAAAACAAAATTAAACTATTTAACATATAAAGGAGGTGCATTCACATAGCTACTTCCCGCAGTTTGTTAGGCTCTTATTTGTGGTGGTAAGATACTTGCTCGGCGCCATTCTCTGCGCAGGTCAACCCACACTCCCTGTTGACCTCCACTACCGGAAAAATAAATTAGAAAAAAAGGAGTCTAAATTGCTTATCTTCCTTCCTTCGTTTGCTGGTTTTTCGCGACACTTGAAACCTCAAGATTATGGGCAGATATCTGTGAAGAATCGGGTTTCCTGTAGCCATTCTCCAAATCTTTGACCTCCTTCATATGTGCCAAGAATGAACGGGATAATTTCCGAAGGCGGACCCTGCATTAGTCGTGATCTTCTTTTCGCTATATGACAGAAAAAGCAATGTAGTGGGGCCTTACGACGGCCACATCGGCCGTAATTTGATGCATTTTCATGATTGAACCGCTCGTGACAGTCAGCGAAGTCGCCGTGCCCAGATCTAGCTGCTAGAATTCGACCTAGAGTGGCGCGCG